TCAGCAGGACAGCAAACCTGGGTGTATAAGACTAACAGCTAACACATAGACAATTCGGAAAAATTTGAAGAACTACATTTATCATCCACCTGTTTCTGTCATATTTGTTTTATGGGGCAGCAAAAGCCCAAAGATGACTCAAACACAGAAGTGCAGCCAGCCCGGGTACGTACCACAGAGGGAAGGGGATCGCCAGTGAATTGCTGCTCCTTGCTGGCAGCACTTGTGCGCATAAGCTGCAATGCTGGTGCACAAGCACTCACAGTCCCCACCAAGGTTGCAGTTGCATGTATCTGTGTGACAATTTTTGACAAAAGAAGTCACATCAATCTGGGGAAAAAAATGAAAAAGAAAAAGAAAAAAAATAGAGGCTGGTAACATCATTGCATGAGCTGTACAAATTCTTGTTGCACCATTTTCAGCAAGAGTGGTACCTCTGGATTGACTGAAAGAATTTAACAGAAAAATAAAGTATTTTCTAAGGTTTGGGTACATTACTATACAAATAATACACTTCAAATAATCCACTTGTGTCTGCATTAGAGGCCAAGAGAAAATTTCAGTCAGTGACTATTAAAAAGTCTGTCTGTCGACACTCTGGCTGTTCATCGAGTTTGGAGAGTAGACTGAGGCTGACAGTTCTGTTTTTATAAGGCAAATACTGCCATCTGTAGTCGTCCTTTTAGTTCTGCATGAGCAACAACAAAGAGCTGCAGCTCTAATTATCAAGTAAGTAAAGTCATAAGTTGCAAAGGCGGTTTTGGTAAGAGAAAGAAAGATTGAGCACGCTGATAACATTTTGCAGAAGAATACTGCACCACTTATCAAAATTTTCATGTACTTTACCCACAAATCTTAATAGATCAGAATCACAGCACTATATCTCTTTATGAATTCTATTTCTGCATCTTTTGGTAGCACAAATCAGAATTCCGCATCCTTACTCTAAAATCCTATTACGTTATTTTGTTGTTTTACATGATAACACTGTTTCTTGGGGTTTAATCATCTTCTTTGTAATGTTGAGCAAGATTTCCAAAACAGTGGTCTTACTCAACACATTGAATGTTTAAAGCAATGCTTTTTTTTTCAGTTTAGGCTCTGGTCTAGCTCAGTTGTACAGCAGTCAAATGGCACACGTCACATCACAGAAATACCACCACAGTAACAAAGCAGCACTTATCTAACAGAGACAGCTTCTCAGCTGCCAGTTCCTAGAAGCTGGCAGGGATGCAAAGGCTGGTTTTCTGCCTTCAGTGCAGAGAAATACCCTTTTGCTTTCCTTCTTTTTCTTCTTTTGAAAACCACTGAGATTGGGACACCTGCATTATCTTCATTGGAAATAGCTGTGGTTTCTTCACAGGAACCACCAAAGAGCAGATCAGCTCCAAAGCACTCAACCTGTCTCTCGTGTCTGCAGGGCAGCATCTCCCCATGGGTCAAGCAACAACCTGCTGCTGTAACAAAGTCGGAGCCTCAGGTTAAAGCTCCCACTGAGTTCAGGAGGAAAGCGTTTTTTCTGTGAATTTTAAGCCTCCACTGAGTTCAGTGCTCAGCTGGGCAACTGCAGTCTGTCAGTCACTGCCAGCCAGAGATGCAAGATTTTTCTGCCTGAAAACAGGGTTTTCCAGTCCCAGATGGACTCTGAGGCCACCTGTCCCATGGGCAGGAGCTTGTCTCCGTGCACAGCAAGATCCTCCATCACTAGCACAACGGAGGTGACTGTAAGAGCCCTGCTCCAAGCATGTCCTCAAACCCACATCTAAATTTTCTGGTCCTTCTGTGCCACAGCACCAGTCTTTACTTAGACTTTTACTTTTTTTGGCACCCAGTTCCCCACCCACACAGCCAGCCTTTAGCTGCAGGTATCCTTGACAGAAGCTCACATTACATTTGTAATAGCTATATTTTCACACACTAATGAATTAGCTGTAAAAACACCTGAAAGATATTTACTTTATAGGCTGTACCATACAAGATGGATACATGCATGTGAAAATACTTGACTACTAATTAAATTACATTTTTTACACCTGGCATGCATTTTTTAACATAATTATGATAAATTTTTGGCAAAATGTTTGCAAATTTTAATCACAACACGGATAAGATATTGAAAATGAATGTTCAAGAGAAAACATCTTTCTTTATGAGTTATAAGACAGCTCCTTAAAAACTGTCTAAATTTCCATTTTTATTTATTACTTTCCACTTTGAAAATACACTCATCACTATGTTCTCAGGCACACGCTCAAAAAATTCTTTACATAGTAACTAAAGTCAACATTAATAAATCTCTTGGGTTAAGCTACTGCAGCAACCTCAGGCAAATTCCTAACCATGTTGATATCAAACTTCAGTCCTGAAAGGCAGGAGGTTCAGCTGGAACATCTAATGATCTCATTTAGTATTAATAGTTATAAAGAAAACAAGAGACAGAGATTGAATGTCATAGTAGTTCTTGCTTGCACAGGTGTAAATAAGCAATTTTGATAACTAAATACTTTTGGAAGGTTAAAATCAGAAACAGGGGAAATGTGTAGAACATGTCTTGCATTGAGTAAAATGGAATAAAAGATTCCTGCGTGAGCTGTTGTTGTTCCTATCTTGTCAGATCGAACTTGAGAACATTCGTGTAACTCAAGTCCCAGTCTCGGCCAGGTATTGCAAAAACAAGAACACCAAACTTCAGAGTTTTTATAAAAAGAAGATGATAAGCTGTCAGACAATTAGAAATACCGATGGCTCTGAAGGTGAAACCTTGCTTTCACATTTCTTTCTATCCTGAGCAGGGGAGTCAACAAAATAAAACCATCTGAGATAAGCTGGAGGCACATTACACAAATGGTTATTTTAGAATCCTGTAGTATATACAAGAACATAAAAAAAAAATTTACCTGTATAAATAAAAACTATGAATACAACTTAAAGAGAACCTTGATTATCCAGTCTACTAACTCATGGCTCCCAGTTATCACTATTATGTTTAGGCTCCAGTTTCGAAGGGAGTAAGTAGCTCTGCACAAAAATAGCCCACCCACACAGACATACTTGCAGGCCTCTACTCAGTATCCTCCATGGCACTCAGTCTGAGGGGAATGGCAAGAAAAACTAATTACTGGAATTCTAATGTTTGCCTACATGGGAGCACATCTTGGATATATAATAAACTTACCACATTGCGACAAGGTGCAAAAACATCACTGTATAAAACTGAACATTCCTTTTTGGCATAAGGGAACTTGCTCTGATGTACCTCACATGGTCTTAGTGTTTCATTTGGGCTCTTGCACTTAAAAACAAGCAAAAACACCACAAACATTTTATACAAAGGTATGTTTACCATGAACTCATGTAGACTATAGTATCATACAGTTCAATATCTGCATGCTCAGAAAACAGAAACAAAGTTTAAATGCTATCTTCTTCAACTTCCCCTTTCCCTGATTTATCATTATAACTGAAAACGTTTGAACAAAAAGGAATCTCTGTTTTGTTCTGAAGTACTAAGTTGTTCCTGCTCTCTGCTCAGCATATAAAGACAAAATGTTTTCTTTGTGACACATTATAATCATTACCAGAGCAACCAACTGTAACATCACAAACAAATACACGGTCCAAAACCATCCGTGGTGGTTTTGCACTGCCTTTAAATGGAGTCACACTACAGATGACTTTAGCCCTGTAAGTTCAAATAAAGAAGCAGCAGTAGGAAGAGAGCAACCCATAAAAAAAAAGACAGAGTCAAAGATTGTTGTGATAACTCAGAAACAGCTGAGATACAACTACTTCTCTTAAAGTCCCTCTTCAAGAAGAAAAACAAACACACAGAAAAACATGACAGAGGACACCAAGCGCAGGAAACATGGGTTCATCCAAAACTCTCTTGGTGCAGCAGTGAAGCCCAGGAGGGGGTAATGATGCATCCGTAGGCAGCACTGGGGTGTCCCAGCACAGCCTGAGCTGCAGTAGCGTTGCCCACCTGCGCTGCCCTCCTCTGTGGATGCTCAGACGCGGCCGTGGGGGACCAAGCGGCAACTCCCGGGAGGGAGAAACCCTGGAAGCATCCCACGCTTCACGGAGCCAATGCAAGCATATTTCCCAGTAGCAGAGCTGGGTTCTAGGACCTCAGATATCTAATACTCCTCTACACTATTTAGATTTTGCAGGAAGGATGACCAGAGTACATCCCTACAAAAGCTAAATGTTCTTTCTGAAAATATCCTAAATGCCTACGGCAGAGACAGATGAAGTGTCAAGTCTGGCTGAGTGCAGGCTGCCTGCGAGGCCAACATTGAACTCAGATCCTGAGTGTTCTATTAATCACTGAGATGGAAAGATTACATGAGATTTTACTAAAATATATGTATATATGGCAACAAGAAGGCAAGATCAATTTTGGACTGAATAAGCAAAGGTTATAGCATCCTAGATGTTAATAAGCTGGGCGAGCACTTCACTTTTTTCTAAAGCAGCCACTGAATTGATAAGTGGGAAAAGAAGAATTCATACATTTTATACAAAGTATTTAGACATTTCTTTATTTATCATCTTCTAGATGAGCAGTATAACCACCAACACTACACATTTGCCTTGATTGTTCACACAATTTAAGCAAATTATATAGAGTAAAACAGATCCAAAGGGAGATATTGAGGGAGAGAAGCCTCAAAATCTTTACTCCAAAGGAGAACAAGTATCATATTCTTTCATGAGGTGAGAAATTTTTGTTCAATTTCCTGCTGTGAGTCAAGGAGAGAATAAGTTAAAAATTGATTTTTACAGACATCCTATGGCGGGAGTGCTTTACAAATACTGATTTTTCAGGAGCTTCACAATGCTATAAAACCTTACATTTTCTCAGTACAAATTAATATCTATTCTCTTGTGTTATAAAACGTAGTTGCAGTCATCCACTCTCTACAGCCTCTTCCCTTCTCAGAAACCAAGTTTCCATACTGTGTTAGAAACACAGAATGATCAAAGGTTGTTCTGAGTTTTTTCTGTCTCACTCCTTCACCACCCCTGCTTTGTCAGTTTGTTCTTTGTTTACAGATTGCAACTAAAAAAAATCACCTTTTTATTTTTTCAGTGTTCAGGGGAAAAAAAATATTCCAGACATTTTTTTCCCAGCATTCCATTTACTTTCAATATTCTGATGCCTCCAACACCACAGAAACCACAATTTTCAAAATCAGGCTGAAACCAAAATATCAGAATTAATGTATCTAACTTTTTAGAAAACTGAAATCCAAATAGCTATGATCATTATCTTATATAGGGAAAATATATTATTTTCTAAAGAGATTGTTTGTTTTTATTTAAATTTAGTATATGTTTGCTATAAAACATTATGAATGCATTTAACATCTACAGATATAAAAATTAAAATGTCCTCTTATCCACTGACCATGAGTTTAGAGAATCCTTGTACATCATGAACTTACACTGTGTTCATGTATAAATTAAAATTATCTTCCTTTTGTTTCTAAATTTTACTGGACTTACCTGTCCTAATACCCAGCTGTCTCCAAACACCTGTGCATTTCTCACCTCCATATTGTTTGATGTAGTCAGATCATTTGAAGTATATTTGTCAAAATTCCCACACAAACCTGCCAGTTTACCCTAAAAGGGAAGCAGCATTATTTTTTAATGTATACTGACAATGATCAGTACAAATTATATTCATGGAATAAAAGAGTCTTAAACTGAAAAAAAGTTAATTCAGCTCTGACATATACTTTGAAAATATCTGGCACTCTGCTATGCTTATTGAAAATAATAAAATCTGTGTTTTCCTTTTTTCTTCCTGTTTTCCAGAATCTGTTCTTACTTTCTGCCTGTGAAAAGGGAATCTGGTCATATTTTTTCTAAAATCTTAGTAGTGCATCCAGTCCAAAAGTCAAAAGTTCAGGTGAATTACCTCATGATTGTGAAGCCTGACTAGCTGTTGTCATGAAAACTTGCTGCCTCTAATTTTAGCTCACAATCATAGAATCATAGAATGGCCTAGGCTGGAAGGGACCTTAGAGATCATTTAATCCAACCTTCCTGCCACCAGGGACGCCACCTCTCGACTAGATCTGGCAACACATGGGGACCAAACGGGAATCGAACCCGCAACCTTAGTGTTGTTAGGGCTATGCTCAACTGACTGAGCTAACCGGTCCAGATGCTCTCCTGTATCTTGTCTTCTTAATGTAAAGCAAAGACGCAACTCCATCTGTTCATCTCAGGTATAGTTCTCAGGGTGCAGTTCCATGATCTGCATATCTCAAGGTGCAGTTCCATGACCAACTTAATCCAGTCTGTGCTACAAACCTGCTGTCTTCCATTTCACTACATATAGAAGCTTCTTTTCCGTTGGCTTCGACAATTATGAGAACATGCAGTGAACTCGGTAACTCAGAACTAACCCTCTCTTTCCACCCCCAAAGTAACTTTGAGTCAGAGCTGAATCACTGAGTATCTGCAAGGTTGCAATGCTTGGAGGAATGGACTAAACATGCGTATAGGAATCACCCCTTCTCTTCAGGAGTTCAGCCACTAAATCACATTCTGTCTCTTTTCACCTGGTAAATACTAGTAGCTGAAGACCATGACAAACAGCTGTGTCACTGGGAAAGTTAGTCATGAAGAAAACACAATCACAGTTATTCAATAAGACATCACATTAGCAACCTAAAGCTACACAAAATCTCAGGTTGTTATTTTGGCTCACCTTCCATCGAGGTCCAACTTTAACATGCATCATTGTCTTCTTATCCCATAGAATTGTAATGTCCTGGTCTGGAAAATGTATCACAGTATAATATCCAGCCTTCCAAAGCTGATAGTTAGATTTCTTTTCCTGTCCCCTTAAGGTCTTCTGAGAAAAATGAATATTTATTAAGATCTAATAAAATAATTCTACCAACCAAGGTAAGCAGCCAATTAATTACAAAGTGTATACTGAAGAATACTTTTTCTTTAGCATATAGTTAGATCAATAATATTACTAGAAATACTGTTTAATACTTTGATATTTTGTCTTTTCAGTCTTTCAGGTTTGTTTGGATTTTGTAGTTTGATATCTCTTTCAAAACCAAGTGGAAAGAAGCAAATGCCAATATGCTTCAACTGCTTGAGGCTTTTGAGCAAGCTTACTTAGAGGACAAAGAGAACTTGAAAGAAAAACAATGAAAAAATAAGATTCTTTCCAGGGCCTGCTGCTTTACCTAGGCCTAGGCACTTGTACTACATTAACTCACACTGAGAGACATTTTCCAAAATCGTGCTCCTTTAGAGCTGTAACTTCATAATGCTTGTCTTAAAGGGAAAACCAAAAAGGAAAGAAAATAACTAACCTGCTTCTCAGTAGGCTCATTAAAATAAATCTCAGTGTCTCCAACAGTGATGAAAACATTCTTTGAGCAAACAATATCATTGTCAAAGCATTTTTTGTTCTGAGCAATTATAGATATATTTGAATTATCTGTGCTCTGCAATATGTAGAAGAAATCATTTTAGTTATAGTTGCAATTGCATTTCACTCCTGCAGATTCATTCCGGGCTTACCATCACAAAAAGACGGATAACGTGGTATTTACACATCTCCAAAATTAAATTTAAGAAAGCTATCAAACAAGGAAATGTATTTTTAGATTCAAAGCTGAACCCACAACCAGCTCAGACTTAAACACAAAGAGCCGTTACATTCATCTGTGAGTCCTCTTTCTGATGACTTCACAAACTCAGAGGATCCGCCTAATCCTAAAATAAGAGTCTAGTTTAGGCTTTTAAAATGTGCTCATACGCGGAATCCAGTATTTACTGCACGGTATGGTTGTCAAAATCGAGACATGCTGTAAAAAGAGCGTTATTTTTAAACCAAGGTACATAAGGTCAAGTTGTTTTCGTATTTTTAAATGTATTTTTGAAACCAAGAAACCTACCATCTGTTGGTAGTAGATGGAACAATTTCCAAAAAAAAAATCAAAATTCACAAGACCATGAGCCTTACTCTAGGCTATTGAAGGGGGCAAAGGTTTCTGCTGATATTTTTGTTGTTTTTTTTCTTTAACATTCAGAAGATTTGTCTATGCTGTTGTCTTTTGATTTGCTGATGTTTTAGTACTCAAAAGTTAAATTTACTGCCTTCCCAATCCTGCATCTGTTGTCTTTCCAGCCCATAAATTAATTTTGCATTATAGGAACATAAAATTTCTATGGCAGCTTGGCTCAACATGTCTCTTTATTCACCTACAGCTTCTGCTGCTGTTCTGTACCACGGGAAAGATACACGCACCTTGTAATTCCTCATGCTAGGACTAGTACTGAAACAAAGGAGAGCAGCAGTATTTTCAGAGTTGTTAACACTACCAAAATTGAAAATAAAATTGAGTTGCTCTTATTATTCTAATTTGCCTTTCAACCCATTTCTGTACCAATCATTGCAAGTCAAGAAGAAGCCATAACTATAGAAAAGACTTGAGAGACTTAACTTCATAACATTTGTATAAGCCAATAATAGTGTTTCTGAATCCAGTTCAGATTTTGATCAAATTCAGTGCTACAGTCATTACAACCCTGAGAGAAATATGAAATAAAAATCTCGGAGATAGCAAGCCATATAGCACACCCACTGAGCCATCCAGTCTTATATGAGACATTTGAATAGTGCTGGAAGCAAAACAATGTTTAAACTTCTCCCACCTTCCTTTAAACACTCTCTGAGACTATGATTAACTGAAACCAATAGCAGGCGCTACTGAGCAGAGTGGGTAAGATGAGAATGGTGGTTTTCACCAGTTCCCCAGTTCTGGGAACTCCTCTTGGCTCCCAGCAACGGCCTTGGAGAGTTCCCCTTGGCTTTGATGGGAGGGATGGGTTTGTGCCCTCTTCACAGAGCTTTGCTCCTGCCCTCGGTCAGTCTACCCCGAAAGGTTCTGAGTATATACTCCTAACTACTCTTTGCCTGTCTCACATTTGTACACTTATTTGTTCTCTGCTCATCAGAATTCAAGAATAAAACACCATATCAGCAATTTCTCCTCACCAGTGGGAAGCATTGCATACAGAAAATATGGGTGCTACAGGAAACATCTTGTTTTCTTTTTTTCTTTAGTATAAGTCATAGTCATCAAATTGCTTAAAGAACACTTCTAATCTAAAAAAAAAAACCAACCTGGATAATGGGAAGCACAGGAAAATGGACATTAGGAAACATTTCTTTAACAAAAGAGTAAAGAGGCATTGGAACAGGCTGCCTAGGGATGTGGTGGATTCACCATCCCTGGAGGAGTTCTCAAAATGGGTAGATCATAGAATCATAGAATGGCCTAGGCTGGAAGGGACCTTAGAGATCATCTAGTCCAACCTCCCTGTTTTGGGCAGGGACGCCACCTCTCGACTAGACCTGGCAACACATGGGGACCGAGCGAGAATCGAACCTGCGACCACTGTGTTGATCCTTATTGCCAGCACCATGCTCAAACCACTGAGCTAACCGGCCCCCTGATGTGGCACTTTGGGACATGGTCATGGTAGTGTTGAGTTGACGGTTGGACTTGATGATCTTAGAGGTCTTTTCCAACCTTAATGATCCAACATTTTTTGTTGCCACGCAGAGGAGATTCTGCAGCTTTGCTGCCCTTAGTCTAGCATAGCTCACAAGCCAGAGGATGTTGCTACTTGGCACAGAAAACACTCTACAGCACAGATGAGTGGGTGCAATGAACATAAGGTTCGGCAGACTGCCTGCAAGCTTTATGTTACACCAGTGCCAGGGCTTGACACGTGTATGTATTAGCAATTATCTTGAAACACAACAGTTAAGGTGGGTAAAATTAGCCCCTAGCTGCCAGTGGTAAGGGCGTGTTGGAAATCAGCTCTTCATGGTTTAGCAGGGAAACTCAGTTTAAAAGCACTGAAAGCTTCAGGATAACACAAAGTTCATCTGTTCCATTCTGTTGTGAAGTTGATTTAGGTTGCACTCAGAATAAAATTGATCACTACCTTTTCGGGAAGTACACTCCGTTTTAATTAAACCAGGCTTCCTGCTGGAGTCGGTCCAGTAATTACTCCCCTCCAAGTCAGTCAACAGCCCAGAGCATTTTTTTACATTTATTGAAAGTCATGTGGTAAATTAAAAAGGAGACAAACTCATTAGTTTGGTAGATAGGATGCAAGCTGATACATTCTGTGCTGGCCAAATGAAAAGTGAGAGAGGAAGCTACCTCCCTGCCATGAGTCCGTTCGGAAGACGACTTTGCTTGCAGTCTATGGGTCTGTTTGGTGCCCAGGACATTGTGGGCTGTTTTCATTGCAGAGTTCATTCCTCTTTGGTTAGCTTAGCCTCAGCTAAAGGGGAAACCCTGAGTTAATAGGGAAGCAATGTTTTCACCGTAAGAAAAGAGACAGAAGGCTTCATTTTAAATAAGGCTGGTTAATTCAGGCTAATTACCCCACAGTAAAAATACACCTTTTTTGGCAATGAAGACAAGTTCTTGGAGCAGCAGTGGGTAGCTATATTAGCTATGCTAACTGAAGCTGCTGCCTGTGCCTTCTGACAGACCAGGCCAATCCCTTCAGCATCAACATACTAGAGCCAGAAGCTTTTGTGTATGGTTGGGATTTGAGCCAAGAGCAAAAGTTGAGTTATATTTCAAGTTAACTCTGCAGTAGTGAGAAGCCTGGAGACAGAGAGTATATTGCTGACCAAAGCCAGAACAGCGAGTCCTGGAGATATGTGAAGTACTTCCTTACTTTTAGGACTGCATGTTGGTGTTAAATTACTAGAAATAATGAAGGATGGAGATGCAGAGAGACAGTGGTGGCAGTTCCACAGATCTATGGGTAAACCAGAGATTTAAGAAAAAGGATTTGCACTAAATCTTGAGTCTTCTGTGCTTTCTCTCTTTCCAATTAAGTCTTATATCTAAACCCAAAAATAAAAGACACCATTATATCTCTTGTGGCTCAAAGCTTTCATGATAAGATTTGCTTTACATACATACTCTTGCCATTCTCTCAATACACCTCAATAAAAAATTGAGTCCTTTGCCAGCTATACAGTACCAGACAAACTCCAAGTCATATGACACTTTCTATCATGGTTTTCAAATTATTCTGTAACTGCTACATGTGCAGCCCCTTCTTTCAGCAAGGAAGGAATAGAGTGCAATTGAAACTTAGCACCTAGCTATTGCTAAGACAAAAGAAAGAACAGGGACTATTTAGATAAAGTGAGGATCAACTTTTAATGTTTGTATAAGTCAGTGAAGTCTTGGGCAAATCTCAACAGTTTTTAGGGACTGTGACAGTATAGGTGATAATGATTGAGTTCCATCTCTCTAATCTGCCCTGGATCAACACAGGTATGAAAACAAGCTTTTGTCACTACCACTTGAAGAAATGTCTGAGACAAGGAGCAGGTCTAATGAATAACAAGGTGGGGAGTTTTGTTGGTTTTCCTTTTTTTTTTTTTTTTTTTCTCCTGCACAGTCTCTTTTCAAGGCCAAGTCACTCTTTACCTTTTTAGGTAAAATGCACCCAGCAGGGGATGTACTACAGTTCATCATGTGAAACCTACTTACGCTGACAGAAACTAGAAATAAAATGGTTTTCCCACTGCAAGAGTATCTTCCCACGTAAATTACCATATCCAGTCTGTTCCAACTTAATATCAGTTTCTTTGTGATAACATGGAGTTGCCAAGCAACAGGGAAGACAGAGTCATAGCTCTGGGCAGTCAGTCAAAAGCTCATTGTCAGTCTTGCTTCTCAGGACATTCTTTTTCTAGACTTCGCTGTGCTTTTTTTCCATATTTCTTCCTAGCCGAAAAAGCAAAGCACTGCTTTCCTTTTTTTTTTTTTTTTTTTTTAATAGTGCTTGGGAATGCTAGGTTTATTTTTGTTAGAAACTTTCTATTTCAATATCCTGTTAGAAATTTTCTATCACTATCAACCAACAACATCATGCTGCAGTGTGCTTACATAGTCAAAATGCATCCTGGGAGAAGGCAATTTAAAAGTGGCTGTATTTATCTTCTTTGAAAGTTTCATTAAAATCTCTCTAACTGTTCAGTGTAAAGACTCATTTGTTTCCATTCTTACTACCCTGATTTCCCCCTTTTTTGTGTTTTGTTTTCTTCCTTACAACGCAGACTAGGCTGGCCATAAAAGCATCTAGGGACAAAGTGGGAACTGGATTGAGATAGATTAGTCCTATTTTCCTTTTGGTTTAATGATTCTTTAGAGGGTTTCATATATAGCCACACACACAAGCAAATGCAAAAAAAGCTCTAAAAATACTGGAAAAAATAATATGCAGTAGTTTAAAAAGTAGAATTTTCTTTCTCCTCATATATTTTCAGAGAGATACCATTAGCTCTGTTAGCTAATGGTGTCAGCTAATTATATCCTCTTTGGTCATTGTTTATTCAGCTCAGAGTTTCTTCTGAAGGAACTTAACAAATAGTTAATTCTAGTAAGCTTGATCC